TTCGAATCGTTCGAATCATTCGATTGTAATCCTGGGATCGGCCCGATACGATTGTAATTGTCGTCATCGTTACGTCGTTAACGCATTGTTAAAAATAATATACGATTTGCAAAGCAATTAGAATATCTAACGCGGTTTCGTAATGCACTTTATTCGCTCGATTGCCCGCCGTTGCGCATAATTCGTTGCGATGATCGAACAGTCGCCCCCGTTGAATACACGTAATTACCGATCGTTATGCCGCCTCGTTACGCGGACTTATTGTCGGAGGAAAAGCGAAACCGAGAAAAACAATTTTTAGTCGACTCCAACTTACGTCGGATCATAAATTAAATCTGTCTTCGCGGAAGATAAAATACAAGGAAAAAAGAAAAAAAAAAGACAAAAAAAGCAAAGAAAAAAATAGAAAAAAGATAAAAGAAGGAGGCGGTAGGTGGGTGGGAGGGAGGGATGGCGAGGGAGGGCGGAAAAGAACGGAGAGGAAAGATAGAATATTATATCTCGTTGTATTTTACATCCTCTCTATGGATCTTTGGAGTTTGCGCAGGGATTATCGCTACGAACGTGTCTCCTGTAATCTCGTTGGTACATCGTTTTCGTCGCTACGTGCGACGATCGATCCGATCGTATCCACGAATTCGCTTTTCAACACGGCGACAACGAAACTCTCCGGATCTCCGTGTAATCGCATTAATCTAACGAAATGCACTCTTCGGAATTGCTATGCCATGGTACCTGAATGTTTGTCAAGTGTACGACACGAAATCCTCTCTCCACGTCAAAGAGCAGATCAGTCATTTATATTTCGCACAACACTTTTATATTATATATATATATATATATATATATATATATATATATATATATTATATAATATAAATTTTAAAAAAACTTTTATATATATATATATATATAAAGCACAACATAATAAATATATATGTATATATATGCATATATATATATATATGTATGTATATAAACACACGCACATACGTACAAGTCAATCTATACATTATTCACTCTTGTATAATCTCTCTACTGTATAGAAAGAAATTCTTTATCGGCACTCTTTTTTACGCACACACACATGATCGTAGCGCTGCACATGCAAAACGAATACACATATACTTACATGAATACGAATACGAATACGAATACATACGAACACATGTGCGTCGTAGATTTTATGGAGAGAGAAAGATACACATACACGGTAATAACCACGATCTAATACTCTAAATACCTCGAGGAGAATTCGAGGAACGATAACTACGCGACGGGCGTAGAAATAAAAAAAGAAAACAAAAAAAAAGAAAAAAAACAAAAAGTAAAAAAAAAAAAAAAAAAAGAAAAAGAAAAATAAAGGGAAAAGAGTAAAAAAGAAAAAAAAAAGAAAAGAAATAAACGACAAATACAAAAATTGCCGTACACTTGGATATTCACGAGAGATGGTGTAAACCGAACGTATGATTATGTATGTCTGTATGTGTTTTGTTCTCATTATAGTTTTTCAGGTACTTCTCTGTAAAAGTGACGGGAACTAACGAGACGTCTCATCGTCGACTATTCGCTACTCTCTGTTCTCCATATATATATATATATAACAGAACGTATTACAAATATTTTTCTTTTCTTCGTCGCTTATACGTAATTTTGTTTATTTTTTTTTTCTATCTTTTGTCTTTTTCTTCTTCTTTTCTTCCTTTTCTTTTTTTACCTTTCTTTTTTTTTTTTTTTTTTTTCTTTTGAAGATACCTTAAAAGTTACTATATTATGAATATCGGATTAAAAGAGTTGAAATTGAGAAAAGAAAGATAAATACGAGGAGAAAGCGAGAGAGAGAGAGAGAGAGAGAGAGAGAGAGAAAGAGAGAAAGAGAGAGAGAAAGAGAGAAAGAAAGAGAGAGAGAGAGAGAGAGAGAGAGAGAGAAATAATGAAAAAGAGAAAAAAGGAAAGATACACGTGACAGAGGAGAGTCCTTCGTCGAAAACGAAACGAGCATAAACGAAAAAGAAAAAAGTGCATATATATATATATACATATATACATATATATATATATATGTATATATGTATATACATACACGATACATCTTTTTATTATGTATATAATAATACTAATAATAATTTCGCCAGAGAGCGAGTCCGATTATTGCAGGTATTGTTACAGGAGTCAGAAAAGCCAGCCGATAACGGAATACCGATGTCGATGGACGATATAATGGATCCTGTTTTCTTGTTTTGTTTTTGTTTTTTTTTTCTCTTTCTTTCTCTGCACTTATTATTGTTATTGTTGTTGTTGTTAATTCACTTTTGTTTCTCTTTTTTTTTTTATCTCTCTCTCTTTCTCTCTCTCTCTCTCTCTCTCTCTCGAATCTTTTGATTCTTCTTTTCATTCTTTTCTTCTTTTTCCTTCCTTTTTATTATTTTTTATTTCTTTTTTTTTTCTTTTTTTTTTTTTTCTTTATTTTCTTCTTTGTTTCTTCTTTTTTTTTTTCTCTCTTCGAAACTCTTCTCCCACGTCCGGTCATAAATGAATACTTTTATACATACATACATACACGCGCGCGCGCGCGCGCGTGCACGCTCTCAGCTCATCCGTTTCCAATGATTTTTTCTTATTCTTCATCTTTTTTCAATGTCACGCTATCTTACAAAAAGAAAAAAGAAGAAAAAAAAAAAGAAAAAAGGTAAAAAGAAAAAAATTAGAAAAAAAGGAAAAAGAAAGAAGAAAAAAGAGGAAAAAGAAAAGAAAGAATAAAACGAAAAAGAAAAGAGATAATCTAATGGACATTATTGATGGCTAGGATGACGATGCCGATCAATGTCATTGACGGAATGTAACATTCTTTTTTTTTTCCAATCGATCTTTGAAGAAAACAATAATCAAATAATGTTTCAATTGATTTTTTAAATATTTTTTTTTAACGATGTTATTACGTTCTGTCTATTTCCGGTCCTCGTTAAACGATTAAAGAAAAAAAAAAAAAAAAGAAGAAAAACAAAAAGAAAAAGCGCATTACGATCGATATTAATCATATCTAATTTTGTGTCTTCTTATTTATTGGATATCTATATATAAAAAAAAAAAAAAAAAAGGAAAGAAAGAAGAAAAAAAGAAAAATAAAAAAAGACAAGAAATTAATCGTATATACATATTTATATATATATATATATTTATATATATATATATATATATATATATATGTATATATACAATAAAGCACCTCCTTTCTAGTTTATTTGTTTCATAAATAAAGATATATAATATATATGTATATATATATATATATATATATATATATATTTATATATTATATATTCGATGCGATCGCGCGTAAGACAAAATGTTCTCGATGTGTTCTCGAGACACCCACCGGGATGAGAAGATGATATTACGCGAGAAGCATCGTTTTGTCCTATGGTTGCTTATCTTTTATGTATTATATATATATATACGCGACGCTAGTATCTACTTACGCGCTCTCGCATTTACAGTGAAAATATCGTAAGCCGTAAATTCTAGACGCGAACTACGATGACCGGATGGTATAATAATATCGTAGACTGTTAATTAAACGTATATAATATTACTCTGGCATAGAATTATTCGTATATAAGAGGATTACATATATGTATATATATATATATTTTTTTTTTCTTTTTTATTTATATATTGTACCTTATATATTATACATATTTATATATATATACATATATATATATTTTATTATATTCTAATTATTTATCTTTCTATACATATACATAAATATATATATATATATATTTATATATATATATATATGTATATATATTTAAATTTTACAAACATATTTTTTTATCATATCGCGACTGTCGTTACTTGCCTTTAGCCTCAACTGGTCTGTTTTTCTTTTTTTGATTTTTATCTTGCCCTCTCGCCTGACGATGCTTCTTCATGCTTGCTGAAAAACCTTCGTGCGCTTCGCTACCTGCCAATTAACGCCTACAAAATATTACCAACCGAACGTAATACCTGAAAATCGAACAATATACGTCAACAACAACAACAACTACTACTACTACAACAACAACAACAACGACAACGACTACGACAACGACAACGAAAACCAACGATGATCAACCAACAACTATAACGAATGAATGCAAACGTCTCGTCGATCGCCATACATCTGTGTGTACCTACACAACAACAACAACAAAATATATATTTATATATATATATATATATATATATATATATACATATATATATATATATATATGTACATACATCATCTTTGAAAAAACAAACTTATAACTACGATTACGACGACATGGTGAACGATTCATTGGAATGAAATTCGATCGTTCGAAATCAAAAAAAACAAACAAACGAACAAACAAAACACGAAACAAAACCTAATTTTATATACATATATATATATATATATATAAATTATTATATAAATATGTAAAAAAAATGACATGTGTCAACGATATGCAAAAACAAAAAAAAAACAAAAAAAAAACAAAAAAAAAAACAAAAAAAAACACGTCACGGGCTGTGACGTTTCGTGGACACCGGACGGATTAACGGATATGTTGGTCGATGCACATCGAAAACCATGGACGCTAACATGAAATATTACTGGTAACATGATGAATGTTGAACGATCGTATGAAAACGAACGTGCGTGCGCGCGTGCGCCCGGAAACGACGAAAAAAAAAAACAAAAAAACAACAAAAAAAATTTTTTTAAAATAATAAAAAACAAAAAATAAAAAATGAAAAATGAAAATAAAAAAATCGCACGCACCCACTTACGTAACGTACGTACGTACGTACGGATGAAAAAAAAATTACATGAAAACGAACGAAAAAAAAAATATAATATATATATATATTCGAATGAAAAAATAAACTGAACTACATATATATATATATATATACACGCACACACATACATACATGCATACACACACACACACACACACACAAATATACACACACGAAAGCAG